GAAAAGCAGTATCGCCGATACAGGTAATTGGAGGGGTACAATCGAAAAAAAAATGTTAAAAGTCAAAATTTGTTACATTAAAATTTATTAGGTTTAAGCTTGTTGTTAACTAACATTTATTAAAGTAAATTAAAATAAACAAATTGTGGTAATTAATTATCTATTAATAACTAGTTTTATATTTTTCTAAACTACTACACTACCACTACTAAAATAAACAATTGTTGAAAGAACTGAATGCTACCGAATTTCGACAAGTATACCTTTTTTTGTAGTATGCTTTAGAGTTTACAGAACCGTTTAGAAATGTAACAAATTTTGACTTTTAATATATATTTTTTTTCGATTGTACCCCTCCAATTACCTGTATCGGCGACACTGCTTTTCAGAAAGAAACCGTTTACACATTATTTTTAACGCACAGTTGATATTTACTCTTGTACAAATTTTGACATTTTTATCTTTAGCCGATTTAAAGATAATTAAGGAAAACCATTTAGAAAGTAATAACTTCAACACACTGTATCTCGAAAACAGGGTGTCTGAGAAAAAAACTTTACATGAACTACCCCTATTATTTTCCCATGAGGAACTTTTTTTGAAACATGAAGGGACACCCTCTAGATATATGATAACATAATTTTCGTTTACCTTCAAATCCTAGTGAATTATTTCTATTACTGTTGCCATCAAAATTAAATTAAATACGTTTTTTCTCCCAAACGGTTAATTTTATCGAATTAATACAGGAATACTTTTTTGGAAGATATTTAAGAATCTTACATATTGAGTTGTTTAATATTTTTAGATGTGCAAATAAAAAGGTTTGGAGGACCCACTTTTTTCATAGGTGCAGTTTGTTACTAGCAATAACTGAAGGAATTTGAAAAAAAAAGAGACTTCGAAAAAAGGTTATGTACGGTTAATGTTAAGTAAAAAAGTAACAGATTATTGTTGTGGTTGTTTTTATGTCTTAAGTTCTAAATTCAAAACAAAAAACAAAAATATTCACTATAAATAAAAAATTGGCTTTGTTTATTGATATGGGGATCCGGCGCTATTCACGTGAATTTTCTATATATTTGTAGGTCTAGACACTTACATGCCGGTTTGGCAACTATGTCCTATATCCCCCGCGGTGTTCCCGATTGTGTGACGCATGTGGCGCCGTTACCCGTGCCCTCTCGCTGCGGGAGTCCCATACATCTACGCAACGCACCCACACGGCGGTCGACTGCCAGCTCGCCCGCCGAGGGGGCGCTACCATCGTGACCACGTGTCATCCGCATACAGTTCCGAAGCGACGGTCAATGTGTTTATGTTTATTTATAATTATATATTACATGATTACATGCCTGATTAATGTGCTTGATGAATAATCAACACCTCTTTCCTTATTTTTGTTCGTTTACAATCTGAAACCTTATGGTAGGTACCCTGCTGCTTTATCAATGAAATTTAAAACAGCGCATACACATTTATTTTCTCCAATTTTTTTCCCTTAATTTTTGAAACCGAAACATAATAGGTCGGAATTAAATGCTTGGATAAGTGTTTGCTTTCTCTGCCAAATCGATTACACTATGCTGTGAATGGAAATCGACTGAAAGAATTTACCCGCATTTAAATTTCTCTTAAATTTTTTCGTCACTCGGGTTAGATAACGTCGTCGTCATGTTGTAACCTCTCACAATTTGCATCTACACTTCTGCGCACCTTGCGGCGCGACTCTTAACCGGAGTTATTCCATGTTCCATTCATTTGACCAATTTTCCGATTCTTCACATCATTTTCGAGGTTCAGTGATGACGTTCACCTTCTAGGTCTGGAATGTGCGTCCCAATTTTTCGTTGGCCTTTCTAAATCTGTGTTCTGTTTACTATTAATGTCAATGTTTCTAGGCAGTATTGGGTAAACGTCGTCCAACGATTGTCAAATAATCAATGTTACGTTTGCGTTGGGTGTTGGTTTTCAGTTTTTCGGACACGTGTTTGTAGATTATTTTTTGTTAAAGAGTTGCCTCAATATGTATTGAACTGGAATTCAATTTTTATTGGTACGATTTTAGATTGATTAAAATCTTGGTCTCAAGGATAGAAAGATAAAATAAGATTCTGTGATTCTTTAATGACGTTTAAGATAAATTATTTCTCAAAAAACGTACCTAAATTATTTTTAAAGAATATCATTTGCATTTTAAAACGCATTTTTCTTATTTCACGTTAGTTAATTGGGCTTATGTTGTTTCCCAGAAATCATCAGATGTATTATTTGATTAGTATTCGATAGTTATCGGCAGTAGTAATTATATGAAGCCATAATAATGGAATAATGAAATTCATTTTAATAGTTAACACTTAACATTTATTAACTTCATTTGACTTATCATGAAACTATACGGGGTGTTTCGAGAAAAGTCCATCTTAGTTTTTTTATAATAAAATTTTGGTCGTAGTGGTTTTAAAAAACAGTGAATTGCATTGAAATGTGATATGTATAATCTTCTAGAGGTTGCTTTTTGAGGTTAGATTTTCTGTATTGTACGTTGAATGTTTCGAAAAATTTCATTCACACAAAACGATACTCATTTTGAAATCTGAGGATCTCTTGTGTGTACAACGAAATATTTACATTTTGATATGAATACGATGTAGAAAACAAAAAGTACAAAAAAATTATTCTAAAATATCGCTGAGAAACATTATTATGTCGCTAGCTCTATAGTTAAAAAGTAACAATACTGACATATCTAGCATACTCAAAAACTTAGTTCTACCAAAGTTGTCTTTTGTTTTTGAGATGCAAGGCTTCAAAGATGACTACAATTTAGCCATATTTAATATTTTGTATTAAAATTTGGTATAGATAATTTTTCTTATATTGAACTTTATAACACTGGGTTTTATAAACAACTTTTTAAATTCAACAAGATGCTTAGGTATTATTTGATTGTGATTCGAAATCATAATGCATGGGGAGATACTATTAAATTTCAGTTTAGGTATTCTTATTGAAATTGCTGAATATACATCGTTTTTTAATTTTTCGCAATTGGCCGATGTAGATTTAGTCCATCAGCTTCTATTCTTATATAACTGCAGTGGCCTTCCTCAGATGACAATAAACCGTTTAAATCAGACTACTTTGGTACAATTTTGAATTCCTTAAAAGTTACAGACCTTCAAATGAAAAATAAAATAAAATGTTTGTATCTAAAATCAAGACTGTACTTACCCATAGTCCATATTAAAAGACTGTCTTATTTGTTGATATTCTTTCATATTCTGAATTCTGATGAACAATTGCCATTTTCCAGGAATAATAGTGACTAATCTGAATAAATACAATTGACGCTTCCGGAAATATGGAAATAATATAATTCACATCAACCTTTCTCAAATAATTTGGTGACGTAACAAATATTTCAGTTTTTTTCATGTGATTTCAGTGTACTATTTTTTTACAACTTTTCGTCTGCTTCTGAGATGTATCGGACTACCCAGGAAACGTAGACGATAAGTGTTAGTAGCGAGTAAGATTTGTCATTGTGGTTATCGCAGTTAACTATGTCAAAATTTCTTAGAAAGCGCGGATATTGTGGCAAATACCGTGTGACGTAAATTTGAAACTAACAGTTATTGTTTTATAGTTAGCAAGTATAGAGATTATGAGACTTAGTCATTGCTTCAACGGTAATAGAGCATTGTATAATTTTATTAAATAAACGGACAAATTATACTGTACTGTAGAGTTAAATACGACTAGATGTACACATTATTATCGTGAAGAAACGTAACTGTGAAAGTTTGATGTGACGAAAACTAGGTGAAAAATTTATAGGAGTGATAAATAAATGTAAGTTTGGCTTTTTAATGTTTAGGTTTGTTGAAAAAAAAAAATATATATATGTGCTAAACGAATTTTCCTGTTATTAGTAAAGTAAATGGTATTTATAATATTATTCTATAAAATATTGCTATAAATTTTGTCTTATCAGCTGGAATAAGTCAAGTTTATACCAATTGTTTTTAATTTGCATAGCTAAAAGCTGAAAATAAAGTAAGAATGGGGTATATGCAGGTATGGTATCTACTAATGTATCGGATCATATAGGGGAGTTAAAATAACTAGAACTTCCTACTTACTTTTTTTTTAATGTTCAGCCCAACTTAACTTTCGTACTCCAATAAAAATTTAATTATTTTAGTTTCTAGTTTTGAAACCACCTTGTGTATTTTCATAAAATTTTGGTATAGTATTATAAGGCTCCATTATTTGATAAAGATTACAGATAAGATCTGGCCTCAACACATATATTTTTAATAAATTTTGACAAAGTTATCAAAACTAAAAATAACATTTTTAGATATTCTGAAGGTTTTTGTTTAAAAAAGGTTCTCTTCATTTATTTCGAATAAAGAACGGTTTTCGATATAAATAAATCGGTTTTTTAACTTTATTTGGTCAAGTTTAAATGACACAAGTTAAAGATTGAAAATCAAAATTTACGTAATAGTAAAAAATGAGAAAAAGACAAATCACTTCGACAAGTGTTCAAAATCAGCTCCCTTTATACTTTTTTATTCAATGAATGCGCATAAATGAGGAAAAAGGTCTAATAGGTTTAGATCGGGTGACCTAGGTGTCCATAAAACAGGACCGTCTGAACTTATCACTAAAAACTAAAGTGCTGACGCAATTCGATAGTCAAAAAAAAAAAAAAAAATTTGAAAAAATATTTGTTGAGGCAGCCTATTTCTTGATACCTTTTAAAGGACCGGTTTTAATAACAAATTATAGACACTTATCTGTAAAAGACTACGACATAATTTTTGTAATTGCACATTTAATAGCACAAGTGCGCTACACACAAGAGTACAAAATGGGTTGTTGCGTCTAATAAGCGTCTATTGCGCTACGCCTCGTGTACGCCAATTCTTATAATATGCGCTTTCCTTATCGTTTGGCACCCCCATTAATTTTAAACTTTGTTGTTTCAGGTACAAGAGCGGCATCCGCGGCAGCACAGTGAGAAACGGTGGTGTGGTCGGCAGCGTCGGCGGCGGCGGCGGCGGCGGTGGCAGCGGCGGTAGGCTGTGCGAGGTGAGGCGGGCGTACAAGGCGGCCGTGGTGCCGTGCAAGACGGCCCGTCGCAGGGCCCGGGGAATGAGCATGGGCCAGAAGGTCTCAGGAGGAGTCAAGGCCGTCAACAGGGATGCAGCCGCGCCGTACAAACCAGTCATTCCTAGAGAACTGGCACAGGTATGTCGGAAATTCCTAACGTTTCTGTGCAAGGCGTAACTTTGATGGGGAGTCATATTTATACAAAGGCTACCTTTGACCTTCAGAAACATATATCATAAGTTTGTTTTCTGAAATTCTGTAGCAAAAATTGATTTTTTTAACCTTTTTTATACCCCGCCACTGGACAGGCTAATGCAACCTCAAACAACTGCCTGCACTAGTCGCAAGCACATACCCATTTGGAGGATATGGAATGCATTGTCATTAAATCTATTAATCGTATACATATTCTTCATAATATTACACAAAAATTTGACATTGAAGTCATACAAATGCACACATCGTCGATAAACAAAAAAATCTGTAAAAAGTTATAAATATGCACTACACAAGACACTTCACTCATTTAAATTTTACTATAGAATTAAACACACATATTTCGATTCCAATAAAATTTAGACTTCACCCAGACAGTCATGAAACTAACTAATGTAAACTGGAAAATTAAAAACTAGAATAACGATCTTCGTTTCTCAAAAATTTACATTGACCGTTTGTTTGTTACTATCTTATCTGGTATATTGATATCATGTACTTCACCTAAATTAGATCGATCAATGTTAGAGGTCATTGGCACGGATTCACAAACTAACCAGTGTTACAAAATTATTATTACCAATTGCAGTTTTGCTCACTTCCACTCCATTAGTTTCATACAGTTGATTTAAAAAAAATAGCAGGCAACACTCATAAGCGCTCACGCTCTACGGAGTTCAAATGCTGTCCAGTAGCGGCGTTGACAAGAGATGAAGTGCAATGTAAAGAACGGATTGCAACAATTTATTTGATTAAAAGATAATAATAATTTCAAATTAATATTCGTAGGAACAGGTATTTATTACCGTAAAAAACTGACCCTCACTTGAAGTTATACTCGGTATGTTTCTTATTTGTTGAAGGTACAAGTACTCTAAAAAACAGGTGCAGAAAAGACAATTTGGTATGAATTAACTTAAAAGAAATGATTATGGGATATATCACCCATGTTGTAAGAAACATTAAGCAATAAATTGTAATATTTCACATTTCATTTCTGAAGGATCTTAGATTTTTAGTAAAAATATTTTTTTGTTTGTTTTTATTTTTTTTGTTGCGGCATCGCCGTTAATTTCGTGTGTATTTCGTTAACAGGACAAAAGCTTTTCCAACTTCCCAGGTTCCTTTATCAATTGACAAACTCAAGCATTCAATTTCTAATTGTTGATACTATGTATATTGAAAATATTCATAACACTGAGAATAATAGCATCTGTAATTATTTTTTTTCTCTTTTAGGACTTTGCACGTCCACCCCGACTCGACATGTTACTTGACATGCCGCCAGCACTCAGAGAAACTCAGCTGAAATACAGCTGGAACCAGGACGATCGCTCTCTAAACATTTTTGTTAAGGATGATGACAAACTTACGTTTCACAGGTAATTTGTTTTTTATTGTCAGGAATCAAACTTCTCAATTGAATTTAAATTGTTACTTTATTGTTACTATGTTAATTAATTTATTTTTATATTACTTTTGGCCTCGTTTCAGACAGACACTGAGGGTCAGCACGCTGATGATCAAGGGGCTGATGATCAGTGTGCTGAAAATCAACGAGCTGATATTTGACTGTTTCTTTTCGCATACGTTGCTGATGAGCAATAACGAAACGAATTTCAACAAAATAGCTTTAATAGCTGTGGCCCTATCTATGGCTTATGTCCATTTTATCTGGACTGGGAGAAATTTCATTCTTTATGGTCGGTAATGTGTGAAAACTACCATTTCACACAGGTGCCGATGGTTAGATTACTGATCATTTTTTTCCACACCGACAAATGGTAGCTTTTACATAGCCACTGAATGGACATTATTGTATAAACCGCTGATTTGGCAGTAACTGTCAGTGTTATTTCTTTAAAGTTTATTTTACTATTGTCTGTTTGCGTTTTATGTGACAAGCACAATCATCAGCCCGCCATCTGCCAGCATGTGTCTGAAACAAAGTTACCCGCCAACACGTGGGGAGTGAGTTCCTCTTGGAAAAATGGTGGGAGTAGTTCATATAACGTTTTTCTCATTAACATTTTCCTAACTGCAGGGTACTAGAGTTGTTACTTTGAAAAGTCTTGTTCTTAATAATCTTTAAATCAGCTAAAGATAAAAATGTCAAAATCTGTACAACAGTCACAAATGGAATGAAAACAGTCCAAATATTGGGGCCTGTTGAACTGCCGCTACGTTTAAATGTTTCTTAGAACATGCTTTGCCAGATCTATTAGGAAATGGGCCCCTTGAATATTAGATGAGACCTATGGTTTCTGCATGATGGTGCACCACCACATTGCACTTAAAATTTCTGACAGTTCCTTAATAATTAATTTAGTAGGGGACAGATTGGATGTGGGCAAGAGGTAGCTGTAAATTGACCTGCCCGACCAATTAGCCAATTTAAATATAATTAAGAAAAATTCTCCTCAAAGTAACAATTGTAACACCTTATATCTCAGAAATGCAATGTTAATGAGGAAAACTTTATATGAACTACCCCCACAAGTTTTCCAAGAAGAACCCAAGTTTTTTTTTGTATAACGGATCATATTTTGTCCATTACTTATTTCTTTGTCATTTTTCACATTTTATACGTTACACCAATTGCACACTTACTTATGATACCAGCATGACGCTAGACGATTCCATTTTATTTATTTTTCGTTACTATTTCTTCTGATTTAGTTTCAGAACTTGTATCACCTAAAATATACCCCAGCTGGTAATTTTAAGGTACAAAATACAGTCGTGGTAAAAAAGTTGTGATTTCTAAAACCGACGAAATTTTCAGACACCCAGTCGCGCAAAGCACGGACTGCATAAGAGGAAAGGTTGGCTTCACAAAGGGCATGCACTGTTGGGAGGTCTGTTGGTCGACGAGACAGCGGGGGACGCATGCAGTTGTCGGGGTGGCCACGGCAGAGGCCCCGTTGCATTCCGTTGGATACCAGAGTTTAGTTGGCAGCACAGACACTTCCTGGGGGTGGGATTTAGGTGAGTTTCTTTTTTAGTAGTAGCAGACCAGAAAAGTTGTAGTTTTAAGACGTTAGAGTAAAGTCGGAGATAATTTTATTACTGTCAGTTTGGAAACACTTTTGAATAACATATTTTCATATGAAGGCATTTTGCAAGTTGGAAAATGTGAAAACCATTGTGTTATCTCGAACCGTTTTCTTTGATCGGTGGGTCAATTTCGATACCATTGGAGAGTTTCTCCTATTTTCCGAAATGATAGAAAAAATAGTCATTGGCCTGATTTTCGAAGAATGTGGAAAACTACATTTGTCTTGATTCGTTTCAGAGGTACACCACTTTTTTCAGTTTTTATAGTTTTCTATGTTACTCTATTTTTTTTGTCTGTGATTATATTAGATTATTTATAAACAGACATTTTTACACAGTTTTTTACATAAAAACCAGTTGCAGACGGTATATTTTTGTGCAAGTTCATTTCTTCATTAGTAATATAATACGAATTCGTATTATTTTGAAACACCCTGTATATATTTTCAATTTTTTAAAATTTCTTTTCATAAATATTTGTACGAAAAATTATTTTGAAGTAATAAACGATAAAAATTACTTTTTTAATCATTAATCAACTGTTTCTTGATATGCCATGGATGTATTTGATGTATCGATGTAAAATAAAAAATGAACGCTACATTAGCTTGTATCAAGAAACAACTGATTTACAGAAAAAATATAACTTTTTGATGTTTGTCTTGAAAAGAATTTTTTGTGTTCTATCGTGTGTATCATTTCAAAGCAAAATTAACAGATTTCAAATATCAGAAACGTAGGTATATTGTTTGGAAAAATATAAATTTGAGTAACAACTGAAGAAGCAGAAGTTTTAGAATAATATTGTCACGATATTTTGTAATTAATCTCTTTGAAAAAATCTTATATTTTCCCAAACAAAATAGTTAAAGGGTATGGTATCATAGAAAATGATAAAAATTGAAAATTACTCTGTATCTCTTTATCAAACCAAGAAGATGTGGTTTTACTATTCAACTTTTTTAGTTGTAAAATAATTTAAAATACAGGGTGTGCCATTTAACACTCCCGCTGTCAATATCTCCGAAATGAAGAAACTTATTTCAGTTCCGAAATAGCTTCAAATTGTAGTTAGAATTGTTAGTTCAAATCTTTCTATATAGATGGTGTGGCGATACTAAAAGATTTTTTGATCCCTGGAATGTGGAAATGCATTCCATCTGAAAGATCGTTAAATTTTGAGTAATTTTGGTAAATAAATTTTTTTCTTATATCTACTTGTTTTCGATATATGTCGACTTCAATATGCAATGTATGATATAACAGGAAAATGTATTATTTTATTTAAATCACACTGATACAAAATATTCTTTTAAAATATTGTTATTATGACTTTATTCACATCATATACTAACTAACAAACAATAAATTATAAAAAAACGAATGATCAACTACAGAAAAAAAAATTGTGTAATGGTAAATCTTATAAGGGGCAGAGATGAACCGTATTTTATCAAATGTTATTAAGAAAATGCAGTCATAGGTGGCTCACGTCATTTACTTAAAATAAAACAATGACAGATGACACATAGTGTTCCAATAATTACAGTTTTATCAGTTTAAGTCTTTCAATTTAACTATACTAGTTATACGATTTAGTATATGGCGGAATAAAGTCATTATAACAATATTTTAAAAGAATATTTTGTCTCGGTGTGATTTAGATAAAATAATAGATTTTCCTGTTATACATTGTATATTGAAGTTGACATATCTCGAAAACAAGTAAATATAGGAAAAAACTTTATATTACAAAAATTACTCAAAATTTAAAGATCTCAGAAAGATTTGAACTAACAGTTCTAACTACAATTTGAAGCCATCTAACAATCCCAATTTCCAGAACTAAAATAAATTTCTACATTGCGAAGATATTGGTAGCAGAAGTGTTAAATGGCACATCCTGTATACATTGTGACGTCATCAAATGAAAATTTCAAAAGCAGTGCACTTTCTTTATTATTACAGATTCTTCCACTTTCTTGTCAGACAGACATAAAAAAATTGCTTAAATTTGTTATAATAATATAATTATGTGAGTTGCAAATTAAAAAATAAAGCATGAAATTATGAGAAACATCAAATGTTAATAAATAATATTTTATAAATTAGAAGAATTATGTAAATCTAATCAAACCTCTAAAGAATATTAATTCAGTCCATCTTTATCGAAATTTTAAAATAACTTGCTTTTAATTGATGTTTTACTTGTATGGATTACCTGAAAATGTATGTTCTGCAAAAAAATCTGCCTATTTTGTGATAAACCGTCAATCTGGCAACAAATGTTTCCTTTAGTGGGGTATTTTTCAAAGTTTCAACTAAGTATATGAAAATGGAAATAAGTATATTTTCATTCTTTTAAAAAAACTTAAAATATGTATTGTGATGTCACTAAGTGAGATGAGAGTATCAAATCCAACCCCAAATGTAATAATATTTGACTCTATTGCAGTGGCAATATACCCATATCAGCACCCCTGCTTTTAAATATGAGTAATCATTTTGCTGTTGCCAGATTTATCCGCTATTCCACTATACTGTCATACATAAATGATGTTTATTGTTAGAACCTGTTATAAAAAATGATAAGTTGCAGTTTAAAAATAACATGTAAAGTGATAAAAAAACCCTAGATAGTGCTTATTAAATGTAGTTAAACTCGTAATCCATTCATAGAAATTTTTTGTTGTAATTCATGTTTTAGATGTTTAAATTATTTTAAAAGGCATGTGTACTAATGAAAAATCGCCCTTTTAAAAAACTTTTATTATTAACTCTTACGTTTTTGCCCTGTTTTAGCTAAACTAATTCAGACAAATCGTATCAAATGATGTCAAAAAACATTTTTCGATACCAGAATGTTTTACAAAAATCTTAAATCTAGATTTATGGGGTTAGTTTTGCATATCTAGACGTCTGGTATGGAAAAATGTTGTTTGACATCATTCAATAAGATACCTATAAATTTTTTTTTTAAATTTGTTTCACTTAGCTTAGTTCTTTTAAAACAGAGTGAAAATGTGTGACAAACCACCCAAACTGACAGTTAAGGGCCCCATATTCTTTAAATAGTGTTTTCCACAAAGACAAATAATTTCAAACATTTAATAACTGAATAATCTAAAGCTTATCAAATAATAGGAATGTTATGTCATGCCACCTGAGTATTTTCAAAGACGCCACAGTAAAACGAATAAACAGGTGCAAAAAACGATCAAACCATCAAGGTTTTAGGTACTGAAATCTACGAAAATACTAACTTTTTTATTCCACATGTAAATATTCTTATAACATTTACTTGCTTAGTCCTACATATAAAATTGTTTACTTTTATTTATAAGTACGTGAAAATAATTCTTAAAATGTGGGGTTAGAATAACAGCAAACGCATGTTTTACAAACGCTTTTTTTTAGTTATTATTTTATTTGAGTAAATTTAAATGGTAACAATGAATAAACAAAACATCAAGGATTTTATTTTTGTGCTTACTTTTGTTCTACGTTTTACTTTTAAAGATTTCAGTACCTAAAAACGCCAGAAATTTCACTATTTCTTGGCCAGGAATATGGCCACCTTAATGGTTTGTTCCATTTCTTTTGATCCTACCTAAAATATTGATGCAGAAATCATTGATTTTAATATCCACACAATTAGATAAGTGACAGTTGAAGTGTACTCATAAATTTTCATATTATTTGGAAGTCGTCAATATCAAGGGTGCTATACTCCCTTTGAAACCCTCAGATTTGACAAATTTTGCATTTATTATTATAGAATTTTTTACTTTTGTTGCTCTAATTACAACAGTTTAAGTAACAAATTGTCACTTTTTGTGGCTTAGATCTGACGTCGTCTACCATGCTGCTCTCTAGCTGTGGATTACCTAACTACACCTGTAATTGTGGCCAATGTCAATATTTAAATAGACCCTTATATGTATTGTTAAGGAATTAACTTTAGTTATAAATTATCTTCCTGACTAGTGTTGTTACAAAAACTGAAATACAGGTAATTCTTACATTGAAATTATGCCTACTCCACCAGTTAATTTTATTTGAATTTCTTTTTTAAATTTTGTAAAAAATATCTAGTATTGATGTCATTATCCCCCTATCATCGACTTTACTCTTAAATATTCATAAATTAAAATTTCAATTTGTGACAACATAATAATCGTTTTAATTGGAAAGTTTCTATTTCAGGTCGTAACAAATTATACCACGATTCAAAGAATTGCCCTGGTATAACATATCCAGCTTTACTGAAACCCGACGAAACTTTCATAGTGCCCGACAAGTTTCTCGTAGTGCTAGACATGGACGAGGGCACTCTTAGTTTTGTAGTTGATGGCCAGTACTTGGGGGTCGCATTTAGAGGACTTAAGGGGAGAAAGTTGTACCCGATAGTGAGCGCTGTTTGGGGACATTGCGAGATCACGATGAGATACATCGGCGGGCTTGACCGTAAGTACCTTCTTTTTTTTTTTCATTTTCTTTTATATCCACTCTATCTTGGACTCTTGAGCTACTGACTAAATTTGTATAAAAATAAGGAAATATAATAGTAGACTTATTATATTCTTTGTCATAACACACACAATTAAATGGGTTATCCCCCAAAATTTTATAGTTGAAAATTTTTTATAAATGATTTATACATATATACGAAGTGACCCATGTTGAAACTATGTCATTACTAACGATTTTTTGTAGGGATGGCAGATACCGATATTTAATATGTGTTCATATTGGCCAGTACTACCAATTTGCCTATACATTTGTCAATATACGTACATAACATTTAAGCGGCAGTCATAATGGATATGAGTTTGTATGAAAATCTATTTGCATAAAATAATACAAATTCCTGACAAATTATTCATTTAACACCAATGATCTTATTACATCTGTGTTCCTGATTTAGTTTCTTTAAAGTTTGTGTAAATGGAATTCAATTTTTTGGTCCTACGATGATCGTATTTCATACAAAATGTTTCAAATCCATTTTCTTTGATACTTCGTTATTACAACTTATCTGGTAGTAGCAAATTAATTGGTCATTTCAGAAATTCTTACAGATTCGTATAGGATGTCCAAAGTGTAACTATACAGATGTAAACATGTGTAATCATTTTAATTTGACTTAAAATTTGATAAGTGCATGCTTAGTTTGAAATCGCTATATATTAAGTTGTGCAGATAACGTGCAGCTGCAGATTTTTACAACTTTTCCATATGTTACCACCTTGTCCATTAATTCATTTTTGCTTCATTTTTATGTTTATTCACACTTATTAATATACACACTGCAAAAAAAATAAATAGAATAGAAAAATAAGTCTTCATTTAAACTATTAATTTTCACAACAAAAGACACACATGCCTACCTAACCAACCAACCAACCAATTACCAATTTTTCTGTCACCAACGAAAAAGTGAACAAAAAAATTGGCGATGTGTCATTTATGACCGAAGCTGTTCCATCTCCCATTTTTATGTAGCATGTAAGTTGAAAATGATTCCAGAGGTTATCAATAAGTTTTAACAATATATATTTTTTAGATTTTAAAGCCACTGTAAGTCAAAAAGCTTAGTTGATTGAATAATAAACAGAAACATGGGGAATTAATTTGGTACCAACTGAAAAATAATAAAATTTGTTATAAGTTCATTTACTAAAGGTAAAGGACCCTGCACTTTTCTTATGGGAAGTAGCTTTTGGTCAATTTTTTTGAAACTTCGCAGGTTGATAGTTCTTAACATGTAGATCAAAAGTCTCAATGGGCACAAAGCCCCAAATCCACCCCTTAACCCCCGCCCCCACAAAAAAAAAACTGCCTCCAAGTAGTGGGGGGATTTAACTGATTTCTGCATGCAAAACAATTTATTTTTTAATCAACCCAACAAAGACCCCAAACAACCACATTTTTGACTATCAAACTATTCGACTTTCACACTGAATTCAAATTTGCAACTCAATTTTACGAAATCGGGTCAGGAAAATTGTTATTAACAATTTAATTGTTTATATAGCTGTAGAAAATTTAATTGCCATTTTATGAAAAAATATTTTCATAAAATGGCAAGTTTCAAATAAAAGTTATTTATTTTGATAAAATCTAAAAAAAAGTTTGTTTTTTTTCGAAAAAGTAATATTCAAGCTGTAAATCACTGTTTAACTTAACACACGTGTATATCTATGGCTATTATACGTATACTCTGTGTAAAACTTTGGTGGCGTTTTAAAGCTAAAACATTGACTTTTCAAAAAAAACACAAGAATAGTTTTTTTTAGATTTCATTGAAATAAAAAACTTTTATTTCAAACTTTTTTTCATTAAACGACAAGTAAACTCTCCACGACTTGGGGTCAGTTTTTGGGGGGAAGGGGTGGATTTGGGGCTTTCTGCCGATTGAGATTTTTGATCTACATGTTAAGAATTATCAATCTGCAAAGTTTCAAAAAAATTGGCCGAAAGCCACTTCCCATAAGAAAAGTGCGGGGTCCTTTACTAAAAGCTTTTGCAATATCCAGTTACAAAAATGATGTTGGTTATGATAACCTTGAAGCTGTAAAAACTGAATTTTTTGTACACGATACAGATATAACTGTTGTTACTTAAACGCAACATGATGCACAATCACAACTGTTAATACTTGATACTACTTACACTTGACATGGAGTGTAGTAAATATTAGACAAAAGTTGCTGCTTTTAATGAGTGGTTAAAATTTTGACACTTTTTTCTGGAACGTTATGTATGTAACCACTCTGTACGAACAATATGTTATGATTTTGTAGAACTAAATATGTGTAAACTTATATATCGGTATCTGCCGATCCATAAACTTAAAAAAAGAATTTTTAGAGCATTCCCATTGAAATTACATATTAGACTGTTTTCTTCAGAACTTTTTATTTGCACTTAAAAATTGTACCCGTCTATTTCAAAACGGGCCTTTTCTTGTTAATCGTGAATTCTAAGTGTTGCACTTTCTTTTCCAGCGGAACCTCTACCTCTTATGGATCTGTGCCGCCGCGTGATACGGCAACGTCTCGGCAAACAGCACTTAGAAGAGAAAGTGATGAGTCTGCAACTCCCCCAAGCCTTACAGACTTACCTCCTCTATAGAGACAGAAGATAATACATCAAGCTGTGTAGTGCAGTGAACTGTTTTCCAAGGTCTGCTACCATATAGAGTAAAGTAACCAAATAATTCAAATACGTTAAAGCATTACTAGACAAGTATATAAAAAAAAAAGATGAACTCGAAACAGTGTACGAACACCCAAGGACGTTGTCTTCTATATAATAGTTTTTACTGTGTGCTGTGATGGTACGCGAATCTCAAGGTCAGTGCTCGCACGTGCTCGTCACGACACAAGACAAAACCTGGTTGATCTCGGGACATGGCCCGCCGTGTCGTTGTTAGAGAACAATGCCATACGGTGTACATAGTTGTAATGTAACTCAGTCTTCTAAAAAAAAAAAAAAATTATATTATCAAGCACGGCTTCCTCTGAACTAGCTTTACAGATAGTTTTTACTTGTTTGGACAAGTGTACCCGCAAGATCGTCGACAATTCCGTACCTCAGTCCGGACGCCTCGCCCGGATTTAAATAGATATGACCGTAAATCATGTTCATCAAAATCAAACCCGTGCGGTTGCCCGCTTCTTTCACTTTGAATGGACCGATTATATCCCTTGACATTTTTTTTCCTCTGAGAAATCGCCCTGTGGAACACGTTACCGATATATGGATTATTATCCACGATATTTCGTGTTCTACACTGTGGCTACACAGAAATTTTTGAAAATGCATGAAAATGAATGAAAATTAGAATGTGCTTGGTGTATATATACGTATATCTATGTAGCTTAGCTACATAAAAAACTCTTAGAAAATTTACTAAAAACGTTATCCTAACGGGAAAAAAATTGAATGTCGGTGAAGTAATAAAGTTATTTTCACATTGCATCGCTTTGATTTTGATGAAATGTTTGATTGTTTTTGAAGGGTTGCTGGGAAGTTTAAGAATTTGTATAATCGGGCTAAAAAAAATGTGTATTAAAAAATTCTAAGGATACTAGAGTTTTTAGTAAAAAGAAGTGATTTATATTTTTTATATCACTTACATTTAGTCATTTTTCATATCATTTTTTGAAACGTCTTGTTCTCATTTATGTCCCAATAGCGGCTTGATATGACATTGAGAGGGCTCTATAGCAAATTGCCACCCAGCAATACATTTTTATAGATTTTATTACATAGTTTGTCTAAATTTGAATCAATGCACCATTTCCTCCATTCTAACGCAGATTTTCTATAAATTGGAGTTAGTTTGAATCGTAAATTACAAATTTCTGTACAACAAAAAGTAATTTGAGTTTGAAATTAACTCCATTTTATAGAAAATCTGTTAGAATGGAGGAAAGTCTGTTATTTGTGCATTAATTTATATTTAGATAAACTGCGTAATAAAAATCTATAAAAACTGGTTGCCTATTTGTTATAGAGAGGGCTCTATAGCAGATAGCCACCCAGCAATACATTTTTATAGATTTTATTGCACAGCTTGGCTAAATTAATGCACAATTGACAGAATTTCCTTCATTCTAAGGCAGATTCTCTATAAAATGGAGTTAGTTTGAAACTCAAATTACTTTTTGTTTTAAAGAAATTTGTAATTTGCTGCTTTTGAACAAGCGGCATCGTAAATTACAAATTTCTTTACACCAAAAAGTAATTGAGTATCAAACCAAGTCCATATTGGTGTAACAAAAACGTATAAAAATGTGTTGCTGGGTGGCTATCTGCTATAGAGCCCTCTTAAGTCTTACGCCTAGTTTTTTTTGGCGGTCCTAAATACAAATTCACAAATTTCTCAGTAAACGCCTTTATATGCATATTTTTCTTATTTTGACTGAAATATTATCTGAAAGGGAGCCCCCGCTGCTTCTGTGTTCATGCCAGTATATTTTAAGGACACGAATATTTATTGAAGCTGTATCAGTAAAGAAAACGTAAAGTATATACATTTTTGTTGAATTATTTTAGTTAATATTTATTACGCGCCCTCTTTCGTTAAGATTTGAAGCTGAAAAGAAAGTCGATCTTGTACAGTACATTGAATGTAAGGAAATGTTTGATTTCTAATTATTAAAGAAGGAAAAGTAAGTGCTCAGGCAGTTACACCAATATTGTATGTAAGAATATTAGACTTATTTTTGTAAATATTTAGTTAGTGCCAGTTCCATCATAATTTATGTCTATGAACTAAGGCTATTTGACTGCTCCGTTCGTTGAGATTATTATTAATAATTTTAAGGTTTTTGTAGTAAATTTTTTTGTTGTATATTTACATATTCGGCCATTTAATGGCCCGTTGTGAGTATAGAATGTTCGAGAGTGTATGTAATTGTGGTATTGTGTTAGTTTTTAGAATTGTTTCTATATGAAATTTCAACATTTTGCATACCGAGTGTTCATTAGATAAATTGTGTAACGAAAATCTTGGTTTTGTGATTTTTATTCGGCAGCAAAAACCAAACGCAATGGACAAAGAATATTTCTCACATTTTTTTATTCGATTCTTACTTAAACTTTTTATGTAACTTATTAAATTTGTTTTCCCAAAGCTTTTAAAACAGTTTTAATTCACCACAGTGGGGGGGAGTACTATTTGTCCGTTGCGGATGATTATCATCATTTTTTTGCATTTTATTTTGACAACCTATTATTCGGTGGTTTTGCCAGAAATGGCGTTCATCCGCCGTTCTTGTAGAATTTAAAAAATGCAATTTGTAGAGGCCTGGACAACTAATGATAAGTAGGATGTTTTAATGTATTTCTAAGTTTTGCTGTGAAAGTCCGGGTTTATTTTAAGTTACTCAATGTACGATTATAATAAATAATATAAGTAAACTCTTTAAACAATTCTTAGTCTCTCATTTGTCCTTTGGAATTTGGAAATAACGAAGGTACTGATTCGACTATAAATGCTCTTAATAAAGAAGGTTCGAATAACCACCACCACCACCCCCCTTCCCCTCCCAATACTAGTTGCCTCTGACTACAATCTAGCAATTATTTACCAGGGAAAAGCAAGTTTGAAGGGCTCACCTTTAATGAGCCTTTTCTAGTTGTAGCATGTACTGTTAGAGTAGTGTACAATGAATTCAGGACACCTATATGAGACAGAGATAAGGGAAATTTAAAAGCATACGTGTTGGGATTTACCTAAAACGAATTCTTTTTGAACATGTGCTTGATGAGAATCACTTTATTTACCAGCAACCCCCCACTATGAGCAGCCCCTTACTACATTCTAGCTTTATTATTTATCCTTGGGGTTCGCTATGTAGCAGTTGTGCTCAATTCTAAATTGTTATTTTCTATCGAATAACTGCGGAGATACAAGATTGAAGGGCTCACTTTTAATTAGCCCTTTCTAGTTATAGAACGTACTACTGTACACTAAATTTGGGACACCTTGTATATCAGATAGAAATAATAAGAATAATTTAACATTAGAAAACTGAAACGGATGCTTTTTTAATGTGCTTGATGAATATCACATTTATTGTGACTAATCTAGGAATTATTCTTCATCCTTAAAATTCACGACAACTTTTTGATAATTTTCATGGACTATTTAATTACGACATTTGCAGATACATGTCTCCAATCTGAAGTCATAGTCCCTCTCTGGTACTTAGGGTTTTCAAATTCTTATTTATTTTATCAATTGCACTTGAACAAACTATAACTATCCCAATGTGATCAAAATACATCCAGCCATGCGTTTAGATGGGCACTTAAAATCTTTTGATTATTTTTATAGCCAAATCTAAAGTTACACAATTCTAGAGATTAAATGTTGCGGAACAAAAAGAACATAGTGTGATAAAAAAAATACTTTTTTCTTTCATTGATATGTACTCAAGGACATAGTCACATAATTGTAAATACAATGTATACACATTGTGACATTTAAATTCTAGATCCTGCTCTAAATGCAAAAGTGTCGATGTGTATTTGCAGCCTAAATTGAAGTCGATTCCTCTCTAGCTCTTGGGGTTTTCGAGATATTCAATCAATTTATTTTGCCAGTGAAAGCACTAGGACAAAAACCGACTGCGAGATCAATGGCTGAAAGTATGTCTTTAATTCATAATAATTTTCAAGGATTCACAAATTTTTTCAGAAATGTTTTAGGATTCAGAAAATTCTGAAAATATTACTATAGACCATTAAATTTTTTCATTGAAGTCTCTTATATCAGTAGAACCACTTAGACAAACTATTCCAGCGTGATCAACGTCAAAATAGCAATATGCAAAATAGAATATTGTATTTTACTAATGACTTCATCGGCAAAGTAATATATTTTCTCAAATCATTCGATGTGCCTGTCCACTTGCCTTCAATATATTAAGAAAATCTTATAAACGTATATACAGGGTGTTTCATAATGATGTGCAAATATTTTAAGGTGTTTAAAAAAGTAATTTTAGGGGGGGGGGTACTTCCAATACCTTTTTTCGAGAAAATACATATTCAAATTTCGAAATGGCCAAAAAAATTAGCTCTTATTTTTTTTATTTAATTTTTAATTCATATTTGCTTAGCTTTTCCTATTGATAAAAAAGAATTTTTGCAAAAAGCATGTCAAACATAACGATCGTTTTTGGTAACATACTAATTATGTATACCTAATCAGCAAGGAGAAATAATTTATTTTTTTGCTCGTAAACCATTAAGTATACGAAAAAATGGGAAGCGTAAAAAAATTTCTAAACGATATGTAGTATTAAAAGCTATTTTTCTTGGAATTGGCTGACGTAGAAAAAAGTTGTGAGAGAAATAAAAAAACCAAGGGGTGCTAATTTCTTTCATTGAAAGTCATAAACCAGAAAAAAATACTTCCAAAAAATACCATTCAACTAGTTGTTAACGTGTACCAAAATTCAAATTTTTAAGTTTAACCGTTTTCGTGAAAAAAAATAAAAGCTAATTTTCCGACTATTTGGAGATTTTAATATTTTCTCAGGGGGGGCTCAAATCAAAAAAATATATTGGAAGTACCCCCCTAAAATTACTTCCTAAACACCTTAAAATTTTTGAACATCATTATGAAATACCCTGTATACTCTTATTGGATAAATTACATACATCTATCAGAAAAAAAATAATTACACTTCTAAAACCCTATAATGCTTCAATGGCCCATATTGTGTAAAAACTTGATTAAAGCGTTTTTATTTGAGACATCCCTCAAAATTAATCAAGGATTGTTTAAAAAAAAACATTGTTTCAAGTCGCTATCGAGAAAAAGTGACATTTAATGTTTTAGGGCAATCTTAAAAACAAAACCTAACTGCCTTTATACCAATAATAACTTTATTAGAAATAGTTAATAGTTTCCAACAGTTAGTCGCAATCGTATTTGATTCAAAACAATGAATTTTGAACCTTATGCACAGAAGATATTGTCATATCTTATGTATATGTAAGCATTATATCATAAGCTCTGATATCGGGATATGCACGCGTCTGACTATTCTTCTTCTTCTTCTTCTTCCTGTGTTTAGATAATATTCATGTCCGTAGCACCGCCGCGCGCCGTCTTCTCAGACCTATTGTACTTCCCACTGTTCAAACCTTTTCAGCAAGTAGGTAGTTTTGTCCTTTTGACAAAGTCCAAAAGCTTCTTTGCCGACACGTCTCTCCAAAAAAAGGATTTCAGGAGCGTCATTCTACTACGTGCAAATCCTGGGCACTCGCGGAGAATATGCAGAGTTTTATCCGCATACTCGGCAGACCGGACTGTCTACAAGCCTTAGCTTATATAGATGTTTCCTAAGGTGACAGTGTCCCGTTAAGTTCCTTTCTTGAGCCTAATTTTATTCAAGCTGAGCAACTAATTCGTTTTTTTCTGCAAGGGACACTCCACCCACTAAACATTTTTCAGTTTCTGACAAGTTCCAGAAACGTTTCCATTTTTCTTGAAACGTTTCATAAAAAATCCATGCAACGTTCTGGTAACCCAAAAGAAACCGAAGATGTCCTCCCCAAAATACGTTTCCAATGAAACGTTTAAAAAAATTGGTTTCAGTAACATTCTTTTGATGTTCCATTTATGCACTCGATATTTTTGTTTTACGTTTCAGTATATTTTCAGAAATGTTTGAGTAACATAATAATTTTTATACAATATTGTTCTCATAATGCTCTCAACTTTAGAAAATTTCCTTTTCAGAAGCGTTTTTGAAACAGTATAAACAGT